TCGACTTCGTCAGACGAATGATGCTATCGTTGCGTTTGCCAAAAAGCCAATTCTTGGTCAGGGCGAAGCACTTGACCAGCTGCCTTGGCAGTTTCACACATGAACGTTGTGTTGATAGATGAAGCTTCGCTGCGAACTTCCTCAGCAAGCTGACGTTGGCGGGGAGTCAAAAAAAGTTAATTTCGTTGTTTCATACCTAATCTGCATGTTTCAGGATTCAGTTCCTGCCGGATCATATAATGATCCATTCTTGTCTAGTGTGTGTGTGTGTGTCTGTGTGTGTGTGTACCATCTGAATAATAGATGTAAAACTTCTATTATTTGCAGGGGGCCACCGGGGTCCCGGGGGGGGGCGGTGGCCAACGAAGACACCCCCCCGGGACCCGTGTAAACGTACCTGCATGCAGTGGCCCTGGACGGCAACCCCTTCAGTGGCCGTAGCTGGGCACTGCAGTGACAGTCCCTGGGCGCCGTCGTGCGCAGCTGGGATGTCACAATATATATATATATTTATATATTCACGTTAGGTCATTAAACCACTCCTGTTAGGGTTAACTGAGGTGTCTTTGCACGTCCGATGCATTCCACATCAATAATTCGATAAGCTATTTCTGAGCAAGTGTGTGTCTATGTCGTCTGCACACTAGAATTAGAAAATGTGACGAAACAGGCTGTCTTGCTCTTTCTTGACCACAACATTGCCGGGGCAATGGCTTGCCTTCCGGGCAAACAAATGCACGAGCGAGAAGCTTGATGATTGATGTAATAGCGGCATCATACTAAGCCCCAATTGGATTTCCAATGTGGGTGGAACTTCTTATGCCCAACGCTTTCCTTGTTGCAAAACAAAGCCGTTTGAACCATGATAGACCAGAGAGCAGTAACATTCTTTGGCAACATATGGAGTTTAAAAGCGGTTAACTTGGGCAATCCGAAGCATCTAGCATGTTTTGCGGCTTTATTTTCTTGAAGATTGGGAAAAGCAATGCTCAAGAAATTAGTCCAAAGGCAGCAAAACCTTTCCACCAAAAGACCCAAACTCAAATCAGCAGTTGAGAAACCAGAAATAAACCCCTGAGAGAAGATAGTGTCAATCATAAAGAAGGCCCAGGGAGTAAATTCAACCAGGTGCCCAGAGGAATGCAACCATCGGGTATTACAAATACTTTCAGCAATAAAAGTCAGGATGGCGAAGACCAGCCCTAGATCAGTAGGGTTTTAGATCAGTAGGGTTTTTAGCATTCCCCAAAAGTCAGAAAGAATATGTTTCCTGATTTTTTTGAAACATTTGAGAAAATTTGGGATAGGTAAACTTTCTTGGAGGAACCGCTTGCCACTTGCCCCTTTTTCAACATTTTCTGTGTGCCGCTTGTGACAACAGCAGTGGTACTTGGGAGACTATCACTTTGTACTTGATTTGACCGTTGATGTTTTGCTGGCCAGTGACACTTGTGTGTGTAAGAAAAATCACCTCCAAAATTGATACAGAAACTTCTCAAAAGTTTTCACACCTGCTGGGGCGCGCAAAAAGGGGGACTAGACCGGTTGGGTTTTTCACAAAGGGCTCTCCCAGAATTCTGGTTGGACCCAATTGTTTCTCAAAAGTGCCCGGGTTTTCTCAAAATGTTCAATTTTTCCTCGACAGGTCCAAGTGTCAAAGGAAAGGGTGAATACTAAAGCAAGTAAAAGGAAAGATGCAAATAAACACCAAAAAAAAATCTCAAAAATCCGGGCTATTCTAAAATGTTCTTTTTTTTCTGAAAATGTTCCATTGTTTTCTGCAAAGGTTCCCAAAATATCACAAACATTCTCAAAAATTCTGGGCTAAAGCAGAAAATTTTCCAAAGAAATCTCACGCATCTTTACAACATATCCTGGGATATCCCGGGCCAGCCCAAGAAATGCACCCAAACAACAAAAAACAATTATGTTTCCAAAATTATTGGATTCCAAAGGACAAATTTGTTTATACTATATTCATATATATATATATAATGTTAAACAGATATATGTATATGTAAATGCAGATGTACATGTAGATGTAAATGTAAATGTAAATGTTGGTGTATATGTTGTTGTATATGTTGTTGTTGTTGATGTCGTTGTTGTTGTTGTTGTCGTCGTCGTCGTCGTGGTCGTGGTGGTGGTGGTGGTGGTGGTGGTTGTGGTGGTGGTTGTGGTGGTTGTGGTTGTTGTGATTGTTGTTGTTGTTGTTGCTGTTGTTGGTACAAACAAAGACTGGGGCTCTCAAAACAAGCTGCGCGAGCTTATTTTGGAATTTGCTTGATGTTCCTTAAGGGCGTCAATGGAGTTTTCCACCGCAATGGAATCGAACTTTGGTGTAGCCCTTTGCATCATTTTCTTAGTCTTAGGCTAAAGCTTCCTGGACTCCTTTTTGGCCGCTCAGCAGCCGAAATCTTGCAAAAAGGGCGCTTTGGATTCATTATGACTTTTCTGGTTGCTGGACCCCTTTTTGGGGCTCCAACGGCCCAAATCTATCAAAAAGGGGTCTGGCAGCCTCTATGCTCCGACGCTTCATTTTCTAGCTGCTGGACCCCTTTTTGTGCCGTCAGCGGTCTGGATCCTTCCAAAAGGGGTCCCCCGCAACCTGACTTCAGACTTGCCACCTTGTCCTGCTGCTTGGACCCCTGTTTGTGCCGAGAGCGGCCTGGATCCTCCAAAAAGGGGTCCTGTGACCTGGCTTCAAATTTTTGCTTCCGGGTCCACCTTTTCAGCAGCCTTGCCACACGAAGACGCTGTACCTGTCTTAGTTCCTTGTTCTGCCTGTGGCCGTTGCACTCTGTGCAGCTGGAGACCCCTCCCTTTTGTTCGAACATCTGCAGAGCATGCCCTGTGTGCGGCTGGAGATCCCCTCTTTTTTGTTCCAACATCTGCAGAGCATGCCCTTCATACAAGGGTCGCCTAGCTCACCCAAGGCGGGCTCGAACTCGCAATCTTCAGGTTAAGGGCCTTGCGCTCTACCGACTGGGCTAGGCACCCCTGGTATAAATGGTATAAAGGGTATGCTCTGCAAATTGTGGAGCGGGGGGGTTTACCAAGACAAGAACTGCCGCACGGGGGGGCTAGCGCAGGAGGGATAACATAGGTACAGCCTTAGACAGAGTGAACAAGAATACTTTTCTCTGTGCGGCAACAACTGCCACGCAGAGAGCAACGGCCACAAGCAGAGAGCAAGGAACAGAGAGAGCTAACACAGGTACAGCCTCTGTGTGTGGCAAGGCTACTGAAAAGGTCGATCCGGAAGCAAGTTTAAAGTCAGGTTGCGGCGGGCCCCTTTTTGGAGGATCCAGGCCGCTCACGGCACAAAAAGGGGTCCAGCACCAGGAAAATGAAAGGTATGTGTTGTTGGGGGGCGGGCCCCGCCAATTAACAACGACGGGGTCGCAGTTGTTTGTTTGTACCCTTAAGGGTAGAAACCAAAAGAAATATATAGTGAGAACGGGGTCCCAGTGTTTGTTTGTACCTTGTTCTTATTCTTGTTGTTCTTGTTCTTGTTCTTGTTCTTGTTGTTCTTGTTCTTGTTGTTCTTGTTCTTGTTCTTGTTGTTGTTGTTCTTGTTCTTCTTCTTGTTGTTGTTGTTGTTGTTGTTGTTCGTTGTTCGTTGTTCGTTGTTCGTTGTGTGTGTGCGTGTGTGTTTTTTGTGGTGTGACCTTGCACTGACTGGTTTGTATCACTTGTCAATCCCGATCTTTGGCTCACAGGGCTCAAAAGCTATTTGCAGCATTTTGCACTTGGCATTTTGATCACTTGATAACTTCAAACTCTTTACCTATCCCAAACTTTCTCGAATGTTTCAAAAAACTTTAAAACCTTAGGATTTTTCAAATAACATGTTGTTTCTGACTTTTAGGGAATCAGGGCAATACTAAAGCTCTTATATAGATTTTTACCATCAAAAAAAAACATACTGATCTAGACCCTACTGATCTAGGGCTGGTCTTTGCTTCCCTGAAATAATCTCGAGTGTTTTGGGGAATCTTTCGGCGCCTAGGTGGCATTACTTGATCAACGGATAAGGGCCCTGCAACTACGCCAGATGACCCCTGCGCGCCATTTTCAACTGCTTTTGGGTTCTGACACTTTTACCATCCCTTTTGTTCCAACGGCATGCAAATGCTAACCCTGCTCATGTGTCGAGCTTAGAGGCGTAGCAGACACCAACACTGAGAGCCAAACAAAGCCTTGTACAGGCCCGCGAGGAGGAGAGGCAGAAGAAAGAAATGGGAACGAAAGACGGAAGAAAGAGGGAGGAAAGCGGAAATAAGAGGAAAGAAAGATGAAAGAAAGAGGAGGGGAAAAGGGAAGAAAGAGGAAACAAAGAGGAAAGAAATAGGAAAGAAAGAGGAAAGAAACAGGAAAGAAAGAGGAAAGAAACAGGAAAGAAAGAGGAAAGAAAGAGGAAAGAAAGAGGGGAGAAAGAGTAAAGAAAGAGGGGAGAAGGAGGAAAGAAAGAAGAGGGAAAAGAGAAGTTTGAGCTTGAACATTTTGCCGCTGAACGGCCATGGGTTGCACTGAAAACATTTTCGCTGGCGCGAAGCTAGAGTGGCGGCGTCAGTGGGCGGCGGATCCCCGCACTGGTTTTCAAAAAATGTCTCGATTTTTCAAATCTAACAAAAGCAATTATGCCTTGCAAATTGCACGACAAAAGCGTTTCTTCCCTAAATTCGCAATGCCAAGACAATTGCAATCAAGTACTCGTACGTATAATGTGAGTTAACTCCTTCCCGGGCATGTTAACGCCAGAAAAGGAGCTAGCGCAAACTTAGCTTGTAGGTGCTGCCCAAATACTGCAGTTAGGCGGGGGCACGCTACATAAAGAAGATGAACGAACATATCAGTTTTTCATATGCAACTACTTTGGCAACAAATCTGATTCTCCTCACTAATAAGAATTTTAGACCGCAAACATTCCCAACCTAGGTCCTGAACCTAAGCAAGCTCTTCGACTCAGGTCATGCCAGTGTGGGTGAATGGGGTGCCTTCAGACATGCATTCGATCTCGTCCTCCCATTCATCGGAGCTGTCTTCGCCACTGGAAGCAGCATCATCCTGTCAAATGGCTCGTTTGCCACATGTCTTGGACTTGTCCAGAAGCGCTATCATCATCAGTAGCAGCAGCAATGTTAACATGATTTTAACGGTTATTGCATATAGTCATAGTTTTTGTTATTGCTACTATGGCGCTTTGTAAATAGTATTGGTGTCATTGTCCTTATGATGAATGTCATTGTGGTCCTTTTTCTGAAATATTACTGTTCTCGCCACGGCTACTGATATCAATAAGGTTATTGCTTTTGCTATTACATTATCATGGCTACTTAATATATATATATATATAATAAAAACATGTATACCATTTTCATCATTATATATCAAGCTGGCGGGACTCATGGGCAAGACTTTTCTCGCTAGCGCGCTAGACTCAAAGGCCCTGTGATCCATTAAGGCCCGGCGAACACACAGGTCACTAAAGTACAAGAATTTCACAACCTGGTGCCGCCTTAGAAAACAAACACACACACACACACCCACACCCACCCCCACCCCCACCCCCACCCCACCCCCACACCCCCAACCACCCCCACCCACACCCACACACCCCAACACCCACACCACCACACACCACACCCACACCCACACCCACACCCACACCCACACACCCACACCCACACACCCCACACCCACACACCCACACACACACCCACACACACACACCCACACACCCACACACACACACACCCACACACCCACACACACACACACACCCACACACACACACACACACCCACACACACCCACACACCCACACACACACACACCCACACACACACACACCCACACCCGCACCCGCACTTGCAGCAAACATAGGTGAAGCATGCTCAGGTGAGCAAGGACACTGGGTTGAGCAGGCCTTGCAATCGCAGTAAGACCTCCGGTAACAAGGCTTTTGCCAACTGACCTCCTTCGGTCCTCTTTGTGCGAATGCCTCCGAGACAGAAGCGCCAGCTTGAACCGCTGAGTGAGCTGCTCTACCTGTGATGCCAAAACCCACATACCCGCATGCCTTTTGTGCTTTGGCTAATCATCTGATCGTTGACAAGCATCTTAGGCAGCGAGCATGGAGTGGACATGAGTGGACAAAGTTTAAACAGCACTAGCGGTACTGAAACAACCGACGTTCACAGCACTTCAGCTTGCAGCTGGCCTTTTCTTCCATGCCCATGGAGGCGCGCCTCCTTGGCTGCTGCAATCAACAACCAAGAATGTATCTTGAAGCCAGCATGTTCCTTGTTCCCGGCGTAGGAGCAGTTGCTATGTTGAAAGCTGTTAAGTGAACACGTTCATTTACTTGCTGACAGGGAATCATCTCTCTGACCACCATCATCTTGAGCTGCCGCCTTGAAATCACAAGCTTGGGCCCAACAGAGCCCCAAAACACATGTTCTGCTACCTGTTTGATTGAGCGCGCAAACTGTGGCAGATACAGCATTGAGATCTATATGACCAGTATGACACGTATGAGGTTGTCGCTGGTGAAGCAAGCGGTCAGCAACGCCCAGTAAGGACACTGGCGTTGACCGTCTTACACGTCCTCTGCAGCACAGGGAACACCAAGGGTGCAGACATGGACCAAACGAAAACTACAAAATGATATAAAATGCTGTCTGCGCTCCAGAAGCCTATGCTGGCTCAAGAAAACGCGTTAAGAAGAAACAATGAAGCAATCTGCATGGCGAATCCCGGTCGTGCCAATGTGAAAGTGCCAGTAGAAAAGCGCACGTCCATGTAGCGGCCTGAAACTGATGGGTGAGAACAACGCAGCGTATATCGAGGGATTATTGTTGCAGAGCCCTAATTCCATTTCCCTCGGCTAATCCCTTCCCTTGAAATTAAGAAACAAACGCCAACACAAATGCTCTTTCTTGGGCCCCTAAAAACCAACCACCGGGTGGTCTGAAACGGTTTGAAACCTGTCTGAACAATAAAATGTCGAACATCACAAGCTCCCCCCGAGCCAGATAAGACATCAATGAAAATGATTCCAAATGTAATATGCTCCAGCCTCAAATGCATTTAGTACTAAGAACGGTTTTCATTTTTTTGACAATTGTTTTGTTCCCTCCAAGAAGCGAAACTTCTTTGAATGTAGTTGTTCACTCCAAGAGGCGGGACTTCAACTTTCCCAATTTTTTTCACGGTTGCGCGCCCCACACGGCGGAACTTCAACATTGTCAAGGTTTGTTGATGGTGCTGTCCGGATGGAAATTTGTTTCAAACCTGTTTTAAACCCTCGCTTCGGGTCATTGCCAGTCTTGGAAAATAAAAGGGAAACAGAAAAAAGGAGCAGGACGAGGAAACGCACATAAGAACAAGAACTTCAAAGGAAAATAAAAATCAGACATATCATCTTTAAAAAGAAAAGAGTATACACATTAATAATCAAGGAGCAAAAAGTTTAAAACAATAACGCCCCACTGGGAAGCAAACCAAAAACACGCTGGTTCCTTCAGACTGCTCTGACAATGCTTTGAAACAGCATTGGAAAGGGCTTGAAGAGAGGTCGGGAAGCACCGGGCAGCCATCCTCCGTCTCCCATCCACCAACGGTTTCGTTCTCAGATTCTGTATCTATAGGGCAAGAAGTTCCACCTTTTTTCCATTTTGGGTAAATTTCTGGCCTTAGAATGACCGAAGGGGGGATTGTATGAGCTAATATGAAGGTTTTTCTGGTTCGGCTCCTTTGGCCCTTGTAACCCGGTAGTACTCGGTAATATTCGAATACTACCGCCAATTACGGCCGTAAAAATTGAGTTGACTCCACTGCAAAACAAAAAAAGTAAAAAAACAACAGCGGCTTACCGGTAGGGCAGCAGCTGCGGCCTTGCTTTGACATTTTGAACCAAAAGAAATGTAATGACAGAGTGTTGGCCCGAAAGTATGGGTGTGGTAAACCTCCATAACTTTCAAGTTCCACCTTATCGTGAACGGTACAGGGTCAAACAAAGGACAACGAACTAGCGGAGAGTGATCAAGTCTACGGACCGATGCAACTCTGACAATCATGGCTCAGGGTGATTCCAGGCAGAGGATGGGATGATTCTTCAATGAAATCCATCATGCCCGGCGATTTCTGTACGTGCACCTAACGGATGTTTACTTACGGATGCATGAAATCTCAGCGGCTTGCAGCATACGAGGATCTAATCACAATAGTTGTGATTTTGACGGTTTTGAATATTCAGGTAAATATAGGTAAATCCAAAAAGGCTGGGATCCATTGTGATTTCATGAAAGCCAATATGAATGCTGTGAAAGAAGGATGCCTAATTGATGCTTGCAAACACAGTCCAGCAAGTGGCCGCAACAGACTTGATGCAAAGCAAATCCAAAACACCCGACCGCATCGACACTAGCAATGCCTTGTTCATCACATACAGGTAGTCAGTTGCTAGCAAGTAACACATGGCTAAACTACATGGCTTGCACGAAGTTTCTGAAAACCATGCCCAGAAGTACGACATGCTTAAACATGGCTTGCGCAAATCTGACAGGCAGTCATTTGCTGGCAAGTAGCACTTGCCTAACATGGCTTGCACGAATTTTCTGTAAAACATGCCCAGAAGTGAGGCATTCTTAAAAATGGCCTGCGCAGATCTGACAGGCAGTCAGTCCCCCGCCACACAAAAGGCAGGTGGATGTCGCCAAGTGCCACACCTGCCACGCAAACGGAAAGTCGATGTTGCCAAGCGCCACGCCTGCCACGCAAAGTGCCACAGCGTCACGGGCGACCAACGGGGACCAAGCGTGCCACCAGACCCAGCCCAGTGCCATAAGTGCCACGCTTGCCATGCAAAATGTGGATGTCGCCTGGGGCCAAATGCCACCTTCCACGCAAAGGGAAGGTCGATGTCGCCAAGGGCCGCGCCTGCCACACAAACTGGCGCGGCGTCACGCGCGAACCAGACCCAGCCCAGTGCCATAAGTGCCACGCTTGCCACGCAAAAGGCACGTGGATGTCGCCAAGCGCCACGCCTGCCACGCAAAGGGGGAAGGTCGATGCCATCAAGTGGCACGCAAGGGACCAACGGGGACCAAGCGCGCCACCACCAAAGTTGTTCACATATAACTTGGGTTAAGTATTGCTATAAAAGGAATAGCATGGGTTAAGTCCTATTACAAGTGAGGTTAAGTAGAATAACTATGTTGGGACTTATAAGGAAGTTACAACTATGTTGTGGAATTTGTTGGAACAACAACTAAGTCACAATTTGAGCTGTTTGACGTAATCTGGAAGTTATAGCTAAGTTTTTTGTAGTTTTTTCGAGAACATGTTTTTTGTTTGTTTATGTTCGTTATTATTACATTTTTGGATGTTTATTTTCGTTTTTAAGTAATTAAAATTTAGGTTATGTTGTATTTTTGACTTGTCGTTTGGACTCAAACTGTGTGACTTTAATGTTGTTGTGTTTTTTTGCCTTTTTCCCCAACAGCGTAAGCTTATGGAGTCTTCAGCCCAGAATAGCTGCGGTGTGCACTGGTGCAGGCGGGGGGACAGGTTCAACGAGGTTCCGGAGAAGGCTCCGAAGGTTCCAGAGAAGGTCTGGGAGGCTTTGGTGCAGAGCCAGGTCACGATCAAAAAGGTTCCGGAGAACCCAGACTTTCTCCGGAACCTTCTCCGGAACCCTGTTGAACCTGACCTAGACTCGGATTTGCACCAAGGCTTCTGGAACCTTCTCCGGAACCTTCTCCGGAACCCTCTTGAACCTGACCTGGCTCTGCACCAAAGCCTCGGAGAAGGTTCTGGTGAAGGTCTGGCAGGCTTTGGTGCAGAGCCAGGTCACGTTCAACAGGGTTCGAAACCACTGATGGACCGAAAGGTGATTGATGTCTCCTCTCTTTCTCTCTCTTTCTCTGACTACCTACCTACCTACCTGCCTGCCTGCCTGCCTACCTACCTACCTACCCACCTACCTACCTACCTACCTACCTACCTCTCTCTCTCTCTCTCTCTTTGTCTCTCCCCCTCCATCGCCATCCCGGAGGTTCAGCATCGATATCCGAATATCTATTCTTTGGGGGTGCCTGTTTCACATCAGGGGAAAGGATTATTTTAAGACATTGTTAGCGATGTTCCATAATCCAAAAACCGTTGATATCCCATTTGTCATCTTAAAAAAGGCGCCTCGAAGCCAATCTGCTTGTGCATTGAGTTCCTGCCAAATACTGAAGCATCCTACCTTGGGAACATGTTTTTTCCGCCCTTGTCCGCCCAAGCGAATATTCCGCCAATTTCTCCCATGCAGGTAGTGCGCAATCTGCCTAGCTATTGTTTTCGGCACCTTGGAAAGCACATCGAAGAACCTCTCGGCCGAAGATGCTCCATCTACATCTACACCCTTGCCCAAGTCCTGGAATAGCAGAAAAACAAGGGAAAACACAAGGAGGAGGTAAACGGTTAACATCTTACTACGCACTTTTTTTTTGCATGGTGAAGAAACGGCACTCAAAAACAAAGCGTCTGATTCCTTCCCAAGCGTAAATTTGACTCAGCTCTGTCTTGAGCAGCTTCGTTTTCTAGCAACAGACTTTGCTGAGCAAAGTTGCCTAAATTGCTTTGAAGATCATGGCGCACCTTCAAAGTGCCATCCACGTTGAGTTCCTGGCACCTTCCCCGTAGTTCCAGGAGCAAGACTTTCGAATCGCCAGCAATCGCCCGGTACTGTTCCACGTCCTGGCACGTGACACAACGTTGGACCCTGTCAAGAGCAGCAAGCCGGCACGGTGCCAACATGTTTCTATCTCAAGGATTCACTTTGACAGCGGAAACCCTGAAATCCCAAAGATGTTGGGGGGGTCTAGTTTGGGGAGGTCTAGATCAGATACCTTTTCACTGGCAGTTTTGATCAAGATTAGTTGAAATTTAAAAGTGTTCTTTCAGCGTGCTCCACCGCAGCAAAGTAGTGGTCTGTTTGTTCTTTGGGTAGCTCATGAACACGATACCAACACTTCATTATGATGTATTTGTCTTTTAAAAATGATTTTAGTTATCACAGTCAAAGTGTTGAACTTATGATTTGGTCAAAACAATAAAAAAAAGATTGTCAATGTGAGCCGATTCAAGAACAGCAACATTGTTTCTCATTGAAGGCTGTCACTGCTGTAGTGTCATTGGCACTATGTATTCCCTTTAGTGATTGTCACAAGTTTGATATTTCTGTCATTGAGAAACATTGACTCTTGTCAGTAAAGCTGTTAATTTGCTGTCGTTTTTTGCCCGGCACATGTGGTGGTGCATCCCTGGTCCCTGTCGGACTTGCTTCGATCTCAGAGCTTAATGTCATGCGTGTACTGTACTATGTGTAGCCATGGACTTTCGATTACTTGAATGGAAGATATTTTGCCATGTCATGTGGCACACAGTTTGTGAGGTTGGAAAATGGTGCGTTCAGCACTGAGAATCAAGTTCATGATGCATATTGATGGTGCTTCCAGTCTCAGTCAATGAAATTTTGTCAATGACTGCAATGATTTTTGTTATTTTAAGTATAACTCCATCGCCCTGTGATCCAAACAGGCTTCCAGAGGTTGACCAAAAATGCCTACGCAACTACTACATACTTCTTTAATAGTTTCACTTGGGTAACTTGTGCACCCAGGCTCCCTCATGTATGGACTGCCCTGCTAAGATGTCATTCTTGTATGGGACCCAGATCATCGGTTGCTCAACGTGATGCCACTTGCAAATAGGTTTTGGAATTGTGATGTTTGGGGGGCTCTGCTAGGTCTGCATGCTGACCATCAGTTCATGCGCAGCAATCCTAGACCAGAGAGTGCCAGTCAGTAAGGGATCATGAACTAACTGCTGGACAAGACTTACTTATTTTTTGAGTTTCATGACAAGAGTGACTTTGTCAGGCTTGGATGCGGCAGCGTATCTGGAAGCTCCACAATGAAGCTACCAGGTAGCTCATGCGTTCTTCAAGTTTGTCAATAGACAAATATTTTCTAGACATGCACGGGACAAACAAATTTAAATAGAAGATGTGAAATCAAATCAAGAAACTGGAAACCACAGTTCGTTTCATTCAAGTCAAACTTGCAAGGCACTCCATGTGGATCTCATGCATCTACGCAGGCACGGCTTTCAAAAGTGTCAAGTCAAGGACCTCGAAACCAATTACAGCACAAACTGAAACAATCTTGAATTGATCAACAAACAAATCAAATCAATCTTCATTTGTTTTACATTGCTTTTGCATTTGAAGTCATCTTCAAGGCACAGGGTCTAGTCATTGACATTGACATTCTCTCAATGTCCACCCCACAGGCACTCAGGGCATGGCAACAAACTGTCATAAACCTACATAGTGCTGAGTGCTCGATGGACACTTCGGACCAACATGCTCTGGATGATTGAATTTCGTCATTGACACTTGAGGTGAGATATGTCATTGACAGCTTGCGTTGTGATTTCTAATCATTCAATCAAATGGAACAATAGATCAAAACATGTTGTTACTAAAAACCACTGTCATGACATGTGTCCTTGTTTTGTGATGTCTGATTTCATTGTCATTATCTTGGGTCAAGTCGATTTGAAGTTGTACTATGGTTATTGGTTCGTTCATTCGTTACTTGAGTTTGGCATCAGGTGAGGCCTTTGCGCAACAGCCCTTCTCAGATGCTGGTGCGGGTGGCCTGTTTGACTGACAACAGAGATTGTCAGGATTGTCTTGGTTGACTTCTGTGTTTGACAAGTTGAAATGCTTCAGCACCGGAGTTGGCCGTTGAATCATCTGTGTGTGAATGTTACTGTCTTGTCCTTCCTTGGACCAATGTGGAGGAGTGCACAGGCATACATAGCTTAAGCATAAACCAATCTCGAAGGCCAACTCCCATGGTTTTGTCATTGATAAAGTTTGCAAACATTTGCAAGCCCTTTTCAGGCAGGAACAGCTGAGCAACATGATACTAAGTCATTCTTCCCACTTGCTGCTCCTGTCATGGGAGCATTTGATCTGACCGTGATGGCTTGGGGCGCGGAGCACCTTTACCAGACACACAAAGGCAAAATGAAGGGCCGGGATGTGATGCATGGCTGGTTGAAAGGTTTCTCGTCATGAGTCATGAGCCGTTGATTTGATAATTTGTTTTTTACACATGAGATGCTTCTGCTGCTTTTGGGACCTGTGCATTGCTGACCCAGAAGATTGAAGTTACAATGATCGTCTCAGGTAAATTTCGCGACAGCGCCATTGTCAGCGTCGATGTCAGAGGCTTTTGGCATGACCCAGCAGTGGCCAAATCATGTGGTTTTTTGTTTGCAAGGAATCAGTCAATCTTTTTATTTGTGCAATGTTCAGCTGTTGCACCAGCAATGCATTCTTTTGATTGTTGTTCTGCATTGCTTGAATTAGCGGTTGTCATGTCCAATCCAAGGCAATCCATTCAAAAGCGCAGATGCCCTTCACAATCATGCTGGAGCCAATGAATGCCATAAATGCATTGCTTTCTGCTTGGACTCGATCCTGAGCTTTAGGTCCAACTCTGTTGGGGAGAAGTTGTTGTTTGCGCTCATTTGTAACTTGTTCTCCAAGTGCAAGTGTGCTTTTGATTCGATTCAGTCAGTTCTTTTGAAATTGTGCTTTCTATTCTAAATTCAACATTGGACTAAATCATCAATGTGTTTGGCCGGTCCTGAGGCAGCCAAGGCTTCAATCGATCTGCCACAGTGGCGATTTGTGTTGCTCGCATTCTGGGCTGCAAGCTTTGGCTGCCAAGCCACCAAGGGTTTCTTGGCCAGTGGCGTCAGATGCTAGATTGCTTGCATCACAAAACATCGACAGCATAAATTGACAAGGACAAAGTCCACTAAGAGTCATTTCATCGTCGGTTTGTTGAGCAGAGTTGTGCAGTGTGTGACAGTGGCATAGTCTTCAATGTGGCCACCAAGGCTCCTCACCAAACCAGGTCCTCCAAGCACACCATCCCTGGAGATGATCGATGATGAGTTTCATGACTGGATCAAAGCTTGGCAATCTTACTCTGAAATTACTGAACCGATTACGAACTTCGATGTGGAGAGTGAGGCTCCGCCTGAAAGTGATGCCGGGCTGGCAGGTGACAATGACAAGGACAAGTATGACAATTCGTGGTATGATAGCTGGCAGTCAGGAGAATGGGCATGGAGCGCTCGGCGAGGCTGGTGGTGGATAGAACATGCTGGTGATGATGATGACGACACATGGGGCAAGTGGCAGGCGGCTGAGAACCTAGAGGAGGAGGAGCAGGAGTGGTGGCATGCTGATGCTGAGCCTGAGGAGTGGCATGCTGAGCCTGAGGAGTGGCATGCTGAGCCTGAGGAGTGGCATGCTGAGCCTGAGCCTGAGTGGCATGCTGATGATGAAAATCAGCCAGTGCATGTGAAGGATAGCTCTGAAGAGAAGCCTGCAGAGCGATGGAACAAGAAGACCTTGCCGCAGTTGAAGAGCAAGGGCTTTGGGAAGAAAAGAGAGCGTGACGATGATGATGGCTGGCACTGGGGTCAGCAAGATTTCGAAAAGCACCAGAAGACGACGTCATGGTCCACGAAAACCATCCAGAGTCAGAGCTCTTCAAGCGCCAGTTTGTCGACATGGAGCCGCCGCTGAACTTCTGAAATCCGAACCAATGATGGCCACTTTGCAAATTAGAATAGGCCCAAGGTGGATCAGCGATGGTGGTCGTGTTCAAAAAGTTGCTGCATGGGGAGCGCCAAGTGCCAATCAAAATTGAATCAGGAAATTTATTGTCTTTGTCTTATTTTTCTGACATTAACATTGATTGATATTGATTGATTCTCTGGCGTGACAGGTTCTGGCAGCAACTCTCCCCTGCCATGCTTGGGACCAAGAAACAGCGGTGTTGCGCAAGTTCTGCAGTTTCACCTGTTCTTCCATGTTATATTTTTGCAGTTGTGACACGGCTTGACTACATACAACCTTGCTAGCTCTCATGTTTTTCTTTTGACAATAATATATAACATTCGAGAATCTTAAAGCAATTGTACAAGTGAAGGGCGTTTCTGCGTGCAGACAAGACTTTCTCTCTGGTGTACTAAACAAGGCCTTCCTTATGGCCTGGTCTGTATATAGCCTTTCCTTTTGCGCACCTCTCTTATATGAACTTGCACTGCCTCTCCGCGTCCTGCGTGTCTCTCACCTCCGCGTAAGTAAAGTCAACAAACTCTAAGGGCGCGAATAAGCAGCCTTATTCGCGCCCTTCGATTTTACAAGGATACGACAGCTATCTCCGTGCTGACGACTTGCCAAAGAACTTGTGAAGTTTTAAACAAAGAAACCAAACAATTATTTTAACCAGTGTTTTCTCACCGGAACCTTCCAGTTTTATTTGTTTTTTTTTTCTGTTTGTTGTTCCTGCCATGTTGTGTGCTTCCTCTGTACTGAAACTGACCAGTTGGACGCATACAACAAACAGAATCTTAATAAAACTGAAGGTCGAATACTTCACTCTGGTTTTCCCAATCTTGAAGTATGTTTATTTCATTTGTAGCATTCCCGGTTCGAGGGAAGGTGGGTGGGTTATCCAAATGTATTTGAGTTGGCATTCAGGTGCTCACCTTGCTTCTCTACATGTGCCTCCATGGGACACTCAGGCCTGCTTGTTATAATTTTCCAGTGACACTTCGCTTCAACAAACGATTTTTACATTGCAACATTAATCCTTTGGTGAGCTTGACCTTTTGAGTGCCTAAACAGATGATGTTGGTTTGCACCATTAAAAAATAACAGTCCCAAAGCGGAGCCGAAACACTCCCAAAACGGATGCCCGATCACCATCAGCATTTTCAGCATCATCAGCATCATGCACTTGATTGTTAGCACATCCCCAAACGCAGTCAATTTCAGGTAGTGGCCAGCATTGCTGACGGTTTGAACCTTGGAGGTGACCATTTTGAGTGCCGAGAGAAGAGAATGGTGGTTTGCACCAAAAATATCAGTCCCAAAGCGGAGCCGAAACACTCCCAAAACGGATGCCCGATCATCATCGGCATCATCAGCATCATGCACTTGATTGTTAAGACATCCCAGGACGCAGTCAAATTCAGGTAGTGGCTAAACACATATGTATGTATCCCGAAATTGGCTTTTCAAAGCCAGCAGAAAAGACCCCCAATTCTGAGAGGCACCCATTCGTTCAGCAAAAACATTTGGCGGCAACATGAGTAAGAACACCCAGTTGTACGACTTGGCACTTCTGAAGGCCTTGCAGTGTGCAATTGCTGAGGTGCCTTGACCTAGAGCAGCAGTAGCCCGGGCCTTGTCAATGTCACAATGAACAGTGATTGCATGAATCATCACTGTTGTGTTCATGTTGTTGTGCCTGTCTGTGGCTTTTGCTCTTGATTCAATGAACACATGTAAGTCTGGCCCACAGTCAAATGTCTAGCTTCTGACTTTCAAGCTCTAACAGGGACACTTGAAGTTTTAGTTGCAATGGGCGCGGACCACAGTCTGTTGCGTGATGCTGAGCGAGCCAAAGTTGGAGCACAGTTTCCATTACCGGGGTTTCATTCGCAGCCCACTGACATTGACAGTCACCCCATGGACCAGGTTGTGGTCGTTGATGCTGCTAAGGGTTCCTATGACCAGGGAATACTTCATCGAAGATTCAAGCGTCGCAGAGTGCTGGGCAATCTCGTCAGCAAGTTCAATGAGAACGGTGCCCAAATCCCCACTGAGCTGAAGCAATTGATGTCTGATGTGTACAGCAATGAAAAATGTGACCGTATGTCCAAAAGGACTTTTGAGTCCCGAATGTTTGATGCCAGGCAGCTGCTCAGAGACTGAGCTTGTCACTTGTCTTTGCTTATTTAATTTAATTGCGATGGTCTGAAGCATTTGTGCTCTGGCACGGTAATTCGATGATGTGGCATTTGACCATGTTGGGATGCAAGGTTGCGGTTGCATGCCATTGCATGTGCGGTGCTGCTTCGTGTCAATGTTCACTCACTAGCATTCATTTGGCAATCTTTCTGATAGTTGTTCTGCATGCATTCATTCAAATCAGAAACTGCAATGATGCACTTTCATGCTGTCAATGTGATAGCTTTGGCATTGGTGTTGCCCCTTGTGCTTTCATCTGCGATGTTTGTCAATGGCATGTCAATGTTTTTTCCAGGGGCGCCTTTTTTTTGAATAACGGTTTGTTCGTTGAAACGAATCAAATCAGTGTCAGCGGCTCCCTGTCAATGTCATACTATCTGAGCCTTTGGCTTCCAGTTCAGCACCCTCTGCGGCTTGGAGTGACTGACAGTCAGTTGCTGTAAGTCTGTTGTAGCGAGATGGGCCGTAACCAGCACAAGTCGAAGAAGGCCCGTAGTATGACTATGCCAGCCAATATGATGATGATGAACCCGATGGCTGCTATGAACCCGTTGCTCCTGCAACAGTTGGCCAGTGCAATGATGGCTCCACCTCCGCATCAGCAGGTTGAGTCGGACTCATCGTCTGATGACCATGATGATCGTCGAGCTTCTGGGTCTGTTGCTGTGGCCAAAGCCAGCAGCCAGGCCGCAGCTCTTCCAGCCCCTTTGCAAGATGGACCTTCGCAGCTGCCACACCAGGCTGCAGATGTGACTGCCCAGAATGCCCAGGCCTATGCGCTTCAGGCTTTGCGGGATCGCCGAGCTTACTTGTTCAGTTCAGTGGGAGCTGACAAGAAGATTCACAGAGGTGCTGCGATGATTCGCAATCTTCCCAAGGACACTGGACTGGGGGTGATAACAGCCAATGACGACGACAACGACAACAACAACAACAACAACAACAACAAAGACGACGACGACGACGACAACAACAACATCATCATACAGTTAAATTTAGATCGGTTTCCAAAATTCAACAATTACGATCGTTTTAATTTGTACTCCTTGCGTGTTCATTGATGCTTTGACAAGTTTTTGTATTCGCATATCTACTAGACATCATTCATTCATCCAACCCTGCAGAAGCGTCTGTCGGAGCTGGTTGAAGCTTTGGATGGGCAGCTTGACCCGACCGTCACCAGTGACTTGAGTCAGTCTGGATTGTGTCGAATGGTGTGGCTGCTTACGAAGCAGAAACCGCAGGTATGTGTGTCCAGACTTCGCTGTGAAGACTATGGGGAGCTGAACACACGTCTCCACCAGCGCCACTTGGTGATTGCGCAGTCGTCTCCAGAGGTTCAAGCTGCTCTGCAGGCAATCAAGGCTGAGGTCATCCTGACTGATGGCTTCGTCGGTGCATTGGCAGAAGCTCAGGGTTGGTCGGATGAATGGATGACTGTTCAAGAGCCAAAGAGCCGCGGGCGTGGCCCCAAAGCGGTTGCAGCTGATGCGCAGCGTGATGCCATGCAGTCTCAAAGAATCCCAGAGATGATGAAGGCTGCAAGTCAAGTGGCACAAGGTGCAAATGCTGGTCCAGCTGCTCCGCTGCCAAGCCCTGTTCCAGTTCAAGTTGGAGGTCAAGTGCGCCCTCCGCCTCCGCGACCAGGTCATCAAGTTGGTGTTGTTGCTGCTGGAAGCCCTCAGGCTCCTCATGCTGCTGTGCAGATGATTGCGCCGGCTGTCAATGCGCCGCGACCAGTTGCTGTGCCGAAGGTTGCTATCCGACCGCCAGTGGCCAGCGCAAGTCCACAGGCCCCTGTGCATCTGCCGGCGCCGCCACAGCCTGCAGCTGCCGTTTCAGTTTCTTGGCTTGCATGGTCATTGACATATTGTTTTGAGAAGCGAAGACATGGTCATTGACATATCTTCAAAGAATCATGTGAATGTTGCGTGAGAGTTGTGCAAACCACGTCATGTTGAGGTAGTAGATGAGATGAAATATATATATATATACAGTTTGAGTATAGTTACTTCAAGTCTATGAGATACAAAACACAATTATAGTATAAGATGCAAAAGGTGTTTTCTTCAAGGTCCAAGGTGAATATTGTGACATCAAGGCATGTAATAAATGCATACTTACCATTCCCACTTGTGCTGCGTTGGTTTTGTCAGGATGCGCCGCCGGATCAGATGGAGAATGTGGAGATGGAGGCGAATCAGATTGCTCCTGCTGCTGATGCTACTGATGGACAAGGCCATGGAGTTGTTGATGCTTCTGATCATGGCGAAGGCCATGCAGGTGATGAAGTCGTTGTGAATGGTCAAGAGCCTCCCACTTGTGTCATTTGTCATGAGCCCCTGCGTGGTGCTGGGCTTGAAATCCAGACGCTGCAATGTGGTCATCCGTGGCACCGAAGCTGCCTTGAAGAGACGTGGCGTGTGGGTGGGCATGAGGTTGGATGGTGTCCTTTCCGCTGTGATGTGAGGGAAGCTGCACAGGCGATGGCACTGGAGACTGGCGATGGTGTCACTGAAGATCGTCAGACGCCCAGTGATCCTGCTGAGCCGGAAATTGTTTTGTGAAAGATGGCCCTGTATGGCTTCAAATCTTTAACATGATGATGTGTGGCGCAACAGCTGAAGGAGGTGAGGGGGCATGAGTGGACTTGTAGGGCAGTAGTGGACAGATTCAGTCTTTTGAATGTACCTTCTCATTTGCAAAATGGTGCCTGGTACAAGCCCACTCGGAATAGCAGTTTGACACCTCGGCGTAGAGCTGTGCTTGCACACAATCATGAGAGATGGGCCATGGTCGCTTGAAGCCCTGTCATTGGCACAGGTAGTCAATTAATTTGATGGTTACTGCATTAGCAGCAGATGAAAAGTGCATATTCTTGCACTTGTGCCGGCAAAGTTTTCCTCATTTTTGCACTTTTTGGCAGGTTTTTGTCTCATTTTGTCTCATTTTGGCACTTTTTTGTCTCATTTTGTCTCATGGTGGCTCATTGGGCCTCATTTGGGATCATTTTGTCTCATTGTGGCTCATTCAGGCCAAATGGAGACAGACTATGAGCAAACACAATGTAATAGTAAGAGGCAATGTCACAGACAGAGCATACATTGCAATGACAAGTCATACGGGCAGACAAGATAAGGCATACATTGCATAGAATGACAGAACAATGACTGACAGGGTATAGAAAAAAAGACTTGGCGTCCAAAGATTGCGGCAATGGCAGCTGGCACAGGGCTGCTGCAGCTGGAGCAGCAAGTTCGCATCATCCAACAACGGGAACAAGCCATTGAAGACAAATTCAAAGCCACCAGCCGTGGCTTAACTGTGGCAACCCTGGCTGAGGTGGAAGACTTTCCCATTGATGAGTCGGGATGTATTTGTGGATGTGATGATGAGATGAAGGAAAAATGGGAGATTGACATTAACATGTTCATGACATGTGATACACAGACTGGGGGCAGAGCACAACAAGTGTGGCCAGAATACTTGACACTGGTCTTTCCGTTCATGGTGGGATGGTCGCTCCCATCAATGCTCCTTGCTTTGCTGATGCGATGTCACTACCATCGACAGCGTGGGGCTGCAGTTTTGCAGTACGTGGAAGTATTCTGTGGAAAGGGAAATCTCTCCCGAGCCTGCATTGCTGCTGGGCTGTTGGGTGTGTCCTTGGACATATGCGTCAATTCGCAGCATGATGTCCTGACAAGTGATGGATTGAGATTGCTTCTTCTTGCAATCACCGCAGCGGTCCCAAGAGCACTGCTGTGGGTTGCAACACCGTGCTCATCCTTTGTGATACTATCTTCTTCGGTGTGCCAAAGAAATTTGACGAATTTGTACATGGGCAACACAGAACGGTTTTGTGTGCAACAAGGTAATGTCTTGGCCGACATTTCTGGTCTTGCCTTGCTACTGGGAGTTCTTCTTGGACTGGAAGATGGCATGGAACAGCCTTCAAGTAGCTGTCTTCCAGAAACTCCTGTTGTCAATGCAGTCTTACGGTTTGGTGGCTACTTCAAAACAGACACCTATCACTACTGCTTCGGTGGCCCAACCTTGAAACCGCTCCAGCTGTGGAGCCACTGCGATTTCGTGTCTGCATTGGCAAGGTCCAGGCCCTCGGTTCCATCGATGGAAGCTTCAGCGCTGGCCAAGAAAAATGATGATGGAAGCTTCACTGGCCGGCATGAGCTCCTGGTTGAATCTCAGGAGTACACGATGCAGTTTGGCCGCTGTGTCGTTACTGCTTATCTTGGTCAAAACTGACTGAGCATTTGCCCAGTGCAGAGCGTGTGTTTTTGACACCGGCACTGCAGCGGCATTAATTATTTCATATGCACTGTCGATGACTGACATGTCATTGATGAGTACGAAATTCAATTCAATTCAGCCTGACAGGAGCTGGTTCATTCAGTCATTCAAGTGTTAAAAAATGAGTGAAATGCCCTGCGCTCACAGACCTGCCTTGTGAAAGCCAACTTCAGCATCCAGCCAGTTTGCGCAGGTCATTGCAGGGTTTTTAAATGCAAGATTCAGATTGCATTCTACATACCAAGGCCTTTTCATGATGTGTGGCTTGGAACCTTCGATCGGTCATGTCCAGGCGGAAGGCTTTTGCACACTGCCAAAAAAGTCATTTTAAAATTTGGCAGTCATTGTCATATGACTTTTTTTTGACTTGCTTTGTTGCTGTTGTTGTTGGGGCGGCTTCTTTGTTTGTTCGCATCACCTTCGTGACCAGTCAGCTTGTCATTTTGTAATTTGGAACAAATGGTGCAATCAGTGGTGGGTGAGTAGTGATCAACCACACGCACGTTAAAAAAACGAACTCTGTCTGACTTCGAGCGTCTTGATTTTGTCAGGTTCTCCGACTGCTACAGTGGTTGGTCAAAGTTTCCCCCTCAGAGGAAGACCATAGTCAACCTTGAAACAGTTGTCAGTTGCCTGGTCGATGTTTGTTTGAGGTTTGACTTGGGTGTGACCTGTCAATGAACCATTTTGATGCTGGCGTGAAATCCAGTGGATCAAAGTCATGATATGTCATGACACGACTGTTTGCAGTTATGTGGTCACCTGTTTGACCTTGTGGAATGTCCTGCCACCCGGTCAGCGAATAGTAACATGGACAATTGCACTCAAGGTTTGTATGTCATAGCCTTTTTTCGAGCATGCACATGGACAATGATGACAATTGACAATGGACAGCTCATGACATATCTTCGGTTTCAGTGTCTCGCCATATGATGTATGCTTCTGCACGAGCAATGTCGGCCAGTGACATTAGATGCTGACAAGGAGCTTCTATCCAAAGTTGCTTTTCTCGTTTCACGAGAAGGTGTGAACCATGATGAGCTGTGGTGGTCATTAGACTTTCTCTATGACAAATTCAAGGCACGTGGTGCTGAAAAAAGGACACTCTACAAATGGGTGCAGTTCTTGAAGCAAAAAGCGGAATTTACTGAGTTTTGCAATGATGAATTCTTTTGCCAGACGAAGCAAGTCAGTCTCCCGCAGAATGCTTTGCGTGAGAACGTGGCTACAACAGCAGCCATTTTGGCATTTTTATTTTTCTCACTGAAGGAATCCAGAACGCCCAAGACCGTGCAACTGATCAAAGATTGGATTGCTCCGCTTTGTGGCCGAGTGTGCTCTACGTTGTCATGTTCTGTGAGCATTGACATTGAAGATATGCCTGCATTGGTGCTTTCTCCTGCGGGTTTGATCAAAGGGATCGAGAACACATTGACATCCAGACACCGAACTTGCTTCCTGGCATGGCAGAAAGAATGGCAGTCAATGTGTGCCGCAGGCGTTTTGAATGATGAATTGGTGGGCGAGGCAGATTCTGCGGTATCATTGCAGGAGCTGGTCCTCTTTGCTTTTTCAGTGGACAGGAGGCGGAGATCAGCAGGTAGCCATGTGTGGGCTGCAAGCAGTGTTTCTGGGTCAAGCCTCTTCAAGTTTCAGAAGGCCCTAGTGAACTTCATGGCCCAGAAAATTGATCTGTATGTGAAGAGTCAACACATGCAACAGCATGACACTGCCCGACCAGCTCCGGCCAGACGGATCCGTAGCTCCGGGGACAATGATGTCCCGATGGGCCAAGTCGTGCCAGCACCATCGACAAAGGTCCGTATGACGCCAGATGCCATCTATGAAATCTTTTCTCAGGCCCGAGACACAAGTGTTTCGATGAAGGCGGCGTTGATTTTCTTACAGGGGGAGAGGGTCTCAGCGATGGCTGGATGCAAACCCACGGCAGTAGATCCGTGGGTTAGGCGTGCCCAAACCATCTACGACGACAGAGCTGCAATGTCCTTTGCAGGTTGCAACCACTTGAACTTGATTAGCGATGGCAGTTGCCATGCCGGCCGTGAAGTTTTGGTTTCCATTGCATATAGCCACCAGAGTGATTCAGCGTCATTCTGCAACCTCCAAGCACTTCTTCCTCTTACGCAAGTGAGTCCAAATGAGATGGAACTTACGGGAAAATTGGAACAGCTGGCCCAGGACTGTCTGACTTGGTAGCTAGTCCTGTTGCAAGATTTGGCTGTTCAATATTCAAGCCTGATTGACAGAAGCCTTTTGGTGATTGGAGGTTGGAGTGGTTGGCCCATCTCATAAATATATATATACATATATACATATATATATATATTAATCAAACAAACATCAAAGTCAAGTACTAGTTTAGATTCATATCGTTACATTCATCAGTTGGTTGCAGCCACCTGGCTAGGACAACAAACTGTTGCGGGTGGCTTCCTATCGGCAACTTCAGGCCATAAGCCAGCAGATCAACTTTCTGACAAATGGCCGACTGGGCAATTTGGATGCTTTCAAAGTTCCTGACAATGTTGTTGCGACACCAGTGCCTCATGGTTGCACCCGCATCAGTCAGATTGACAATGGTCGGGTTCGAGCTGGCTATCGAGACAATACTACTGGCGAGACTCGCATGCTGCTGCCTCCTGAGCGGGACTGGTGGGTTGACACTCCTTTGTTGGTTTTGCAGCTGGACCAAGGGCCTACCTGCTGTGGAGGGGCAGCGTCACTGGTTTGAATTTGTCTGATTGACCAATGTCACTGAAATAAAAGTTTCTTGAAAAAATCAATCATCATTTGATTTGTCATTGCTTGCTTCAATCAACCTGTCGGCTGAGGTTTGCCATCACCAAACTCGAGAGAATGATTCTTGCGAGGTGGGACATCATACATCGCGCAATTCGAGATGTCAGGCTGAGCCTGTTGCACGGGGCCAACGGGGAGTTTTTTCAGGCGCAATTTCATTCGCAGTATTTGTTTTCACTGGCCTACAGACCATTTGGGTCGTCTGGTTTTTTTCAAGACAAGCGGCGGCTCCTGGAATTGATGTTGTCCAGAGAAACATGTGAGTCTGTGCCTATGTTTGTGGATTCCTGGGAAAGCATCCGAGATGAGTTGCAGATGCCAGCTTCAAGCACAATGGCCGATGTTTGGGCTGCGCTGCCTTTGCTTGATGGTTTTAACTCAAAGCAGGTGTTTCCCAAGTTGTCACGTTGGTTCTCCTGGAACCAAGCAGCAGATGAAAAGATGTGTGAGTGGACGGCGCTGAAAGTTGTACTCAACTATCACTTTGCTGGTGAAGACTTGGACCCTGATGAAGCGTATCAAAAACGACTGCTGGAACATCTTGCAAAGGAATCGAATGCGGAAACAAACATGAGACATGAATTTGGGAAGCTCAAAGAAAAATTGGGAGGTGGGCTCAAGTTGTGTTATCACATCATGAGCAACAAGTTGAAGCAAATGGTGCAGATCGTCATGATTTGCACGAGACCAGTCTGGTCGTGGTACTCCCACACAATCAAGGAAGTGCACCATGCCCAACATCAGGTCCAGAAGCTGATTGGCTTGCAGCACGGTTGGATGTCTGAGGAACACTTGCAGAGGCTTGCGGGTCTCCCCACATCCTTGGACGAGGAACTGCGCCAACTTCTTGGCAAGACTGAGTTCGATGATACATGCTCCAAAGTGTCTGAGTTGAGTCAGCGTGTCTTGAAGAACCGGGTTTGGTCACTTTCAAGGGCGGCCGCTCCCCCGGATTGCTATGCTGGCTTGCTGTCATTGGATGATGCTGCTCAAAAGGCTTGGTGGGCGGAGGTTGGGAATCGTGGTGTCTGTCCGGTGGAATCTTTTGTCTGTTTCTAGCTTACTGTCTTTCATCACAGTCGAGTCGAACTTGGCATGAGGACAGGTTTTTTCACATTTCTATTCTAAAGTGTGATTTCTTGTCTCAATTGTCAAGGCCAGTATTATTCCACTTGTTCCCCTGTTGTGATTGAAATTCAAACCAGACAGAGTGAGTGGCAGGCTTCGGCAAAACAGCTAGCTGCTGACCATTGCAACTTGCTTAAGCTGGAAGCAATTGCTGCCCAGAGTGGATCTACACCAAAGATCCTGAGCGATTTGAATGTTGTTTGCACAGCTGCCATTCGTGTACTCTGGTTGGCATTTGAGGAGGACAAATACCACCATGGCAGCCATGGCGGCTTGCATCTCCTCCGTGGAATGCTTCAAACACTTCCTGATTCCAAAATCGTGGAAGACTGCCACGGCAACCTGAGGAAAAATGCTAAGAAGGGCTCGAACAAACGGCAAACCCTGCAGGCCTTGCAAGAGCTGGTGACAAGCTCATCAGTACTACAGACCAGGGACATCAAACACAAAGCGTTTGTCACGAGAGAAGAGTTCTTGAGACGCTTCCCCAGAACCAAAGATCGCAAACGGAAGAGGCCTGGAGTCTTGCTTTATCCACCAACTGCCATCTTTGTTTCCACCACACATTCACATTTATGTTGTTATGTCACAGACAGTCATAGACAATATACACATAGTATATATTACAATATATGCAAAGTTGTTTTAGTGCACTTGAAGTTTACGACACCAACATGAATTCAGGACATTTTTGAACTCGCCAGTGGTGTTGTCAAGTTTTTTGCTTGTGCATTCGGAGAGGCGCTACATGGCTCGCTTCCACAAGCTTCCGAAGGCATGGTCGGAGTTAATGTCCAGGAAGAACTGGGCAACCATCAGCGAAGACACTTTGCATCAAGGGGCAGCTGCCTTGGCTTTCTTGCGTCGGTACATGGAGGACAACATGGGCAATAGAGGTGTTCGATTATCACATGGATGTCTCAGCAAGTTTGCAATGGAACGCACCATTATGTGCCATGCTGAATATGTGGGCTTTTGCCTTGGCCATGGAGTCTGGAGTGCATTGTTTTGGCCGCTGAGCATTCACAAGGATGGCGATTTTGAAGGATACTATTTGGACCCCAAAGGAGAAGTTGAGTGGGTGCACATCTTGGACCCGCAGGAATGGTTTGTGCTTCCTCATACAGTTGTGCTGCACCAGGAGAAGATCTACATGGAAGTCTCATCGGACGTTCCCTTAGTGCGCTTCTTCTTTGGGGAAGCCTCTTGTCGAAATTCTTTGACAGTCGCTGACATGACTGTGCTTTCTGAAGTGCTGATGTTGGACAGCGAGCAGTTTAACCCAAAGAAGATGAAGCGTGACCAGCTACTCAATGCAATTTTGGACAAGGTAGGTGCTGATGACCAGGACTGGCTTTGCAAGGTGAAGGAATCTCTTGCCAAACCGGAGAAGCGCAAAGTCATTGGAGATGCGTTGGATGAATTCATCCTGTCTGAAATGCCATTGGAGGAGCAGCAAGACTTCAAAGAAGTTGCAGATGAAGTCGACACCAAGAGAAAATGTGGTTGGAGCCTCATGGATCAGAAGTGGAGAGAGCAAATGGCCCAAAAAAAGCCAAAAGCAAAAGCCAAGAGAAAGGCGAAGCCGAAGCCGAAAGCTGTGCCGAGACGATTTGGTCGAAAACGCAAGAGGTCTGATACTGATCAACAAGAGGATGTAGCTCCCGCACTGTTGGATGCTCCAGCTGAGCCAGCTGCCGAAGCAGGAGCTGTCGAACCTGAACCTGGACCAGTTGATCCAGGTGACATGGACCTGGATGATGACATGACACTTGAAGAGCTGCGGCAACGAGCTGCTCCAGATGCTGCAGTTGCTCCAGATGCTGCAGTTGCTCCAGATGCTGCAGTTGCTCCAGATGATGCAGTGGCTCCAGATGCTGCAGTTGCTCCAGATGCTGCAGTTGCTCCAGATGCTGCAGTTGCTGCGGCACCTCCGATGCCTGAACGTGCTGCTGAGCCTCGTGCTGGTCCGTTCCAGGAAGTTGTTCACTGGACTGACATCAGTTGCCCGCACTGCAACACTATCTGTGGACAAATCAAGCTGGTGCCCAACCCAGGAACAAGAGACGAACCCACATGGTCCATGCGTGTGAAAAAAGATGGCGAATGGCCTTCTAAAGGTCCATACTTCAAGAGACGGCTGGCAAGATTGATCAATGATGATCCTGGCGATGGAAACAATCCTGAAGGTGCCAGGAAATGGGTGATGCAGATGAAGACTTGCTGCAACTCTTGAAGAGGATAAAAAATGCATTCATTGATGCGGTGGTAGATCAATCAACTGCGGATGTAATTTCGTATATATACTACGTGTCTCTCATTTTATATTACTGTATATTGATTCATTGACAATATGACAAGCATTGACAGTTTCCAGCAATGTCAGCTGCCAGCCTCAGTCAGTTGTTCGGATTTGTGTCTTTTCAGCTTGCAATCAAGGTTGCGAAGAACTGCATACTGACTGCTGAAGCTGTGATAGCGTTTCAATCATTCCAGCGCAGTGACTCAGTGACAATCATATGACAATGACAATGACAAGTGCAAACCGCTGTCCTATTTGTCAATGCTTGGACAGCCGCTGGAAGATTGTGATTTCAGCGTTAGCGTGTTTCTGCCATGTTCCGCACTTCTGGTTCTTCATTGACAATCTCATTTGCAAATACATAACATTCTTATGATCCAACGAGTACATGGATTTTCAGTGACATGCCAGCGATATCATTTTGTAAGCCCTTTCAGCAACAGGTCGTCAACTTGCAATGTCCATTGCAAGTTCAAGTTCAGACCAAGTTTCAAAAACAACTTGCACGAAGCCAATGACAAATCATCATATTTTTCAAATTCGAGAACAATTTGACACTTATTAACTATTGTCATCGACATCGTCGCAAGATGATGAGGCCAGTGCTTAACACAGACACACGCACACACACACACACACGCACACACACGCACACCCCACACACACACACACACTTGCGAAGTCATGAAGACAGTTTCTTGTCATGAATGCAAAGTCTGATTACCTCATGGTAGGTTGAAGGCATCACTCGGCCATACCGAGTTAAAAAGGCCAAGCTTATCCGTTGACATTTGAATGTCAGGTTGTTTAAAAGAAAAACCAATATTGCTCAATCAAACGTGATCATGAAATGACTGAATGACGGCATGCAGGTTCTTGGGTTGGCCTGGTCCCATAAAATACTAACGGATACGGATATGACCACCAGCTATGACCCCAACATATTGGGTATGTCATCCAGGTGCATCATGCAGGTACGTTTTCACAACCTGAGGTGAGTGTCTTCATTGGCACAAGACTCACCAAAGGTCCTTGTGCCCCCTGCTATGAATTAAGGTGCAACGGTATCCATAATTTATGGAAGAAAGCAGTTAAAAAACTAGTTGGTTGAATTGAAATCAGCCGCAAAAAAGTGAGGAACTCTTCGGTACAGAGCTTGACACACACACACACAGACACACACACTCTACTCTATCAATGTCACTGCATCAGTCATTTTCCTTTTATTTTTCTGCGCTCCGCTACCATGCATGGACATGGTTACCCTTGTTTGAATCAAAACATTGCGAAACAGTGTTACCCATTTTTGTGGCGTCTCACCCTTTCAGCTTGCGATCTGTGGCCGGAAAAAATTGGACAAAAGTGTTGAAGGCAGCAATGGTCTTCCCAGATTTTCAACATTTGTCATACGTCAGAATTCGTGAACTGCCATATCGGAACCAACCCTGGATGTCTCAAAGTAGGCTGATTCCAGCTCAAATGAGCACTTTTGATATCATCCATTTTGACAAAGGTCCCTGACCCAAACCTCTCTGATTCAAAGCCTGCCATTTTTTAATGATGAAATGCCCTAAATCTATCTAAATCTGCTAGAATCTAAAAACCTAAAAATAACAAAACATATGAAAAATAAAACCTGAACATGTTTTTTTTATGTGAACAAAAACAAAAAACAATCTAATAAAGCAACATAATCCCAAAGAATATCCCCAACAGCAACAACCAAATGAAAAAGTCACCGCATGTTCGTCGCAATCATGTTTGAAAGCTGGCTGAGGTAAGCCTTATGGTTGTGTATCCTGTCGGTTCAGCAGTTCAGGAACCTATTTGCAGTTATCTTTGTCTCAGTTTTCAATGCGCGCGTTTGAACACACAGCAGTGCCCCACACACAGCTTGAATATTGGTTGGAACAAAATAAACTTTGCTTGGAAACCCTTCCCTGGACACCTCGCTTGCAAATCTGTTCCTGGGAGCTGTAACCTTGCTTGGAAACCTGTTCTTGGAACCCTTGCTTGGCAACCTGTTCTTGGAACCCTTGCTCGCGAACCTAGGGAGCCTTTCTTGGAAACCTTTCTTGGGAACCTCACTTAAAAACTGTTTGTGGCAACCTTGTTTGCGAACCTGTTCCTGGAACCTTTGCTTGGGAACCTGTTCTTGGAAACCTTGCTTGCGAACTTGGCAACCTTGCTTGGGAACCTGTTCCTGGAAACCTTGCTTAGGGACCTGATCTTGGGAACCTTGCTTGGGAACCTGTTCTTGGGAGCCTTTCCCTGGACCTGTTACCTGTTCTAAGGAACCTTGCTTGGAAACCTTCCCTTGCTTGATTGGGAATCTTTGGGAACCTGTTCCTGGGAACCTTGCTTGGAAACCTTGCTTGGGAACCTATTCCAGGCAGCCTTGCTTGGAAACCTGTCTTGAGAACCTTGCTTGGAAACCTGTTCGTGTCTACCTTTTTTTGGATAACTTTGCTTGGGAGCCTTGCTTCGGAACCTGTTCATGGAACCCTTGCTTGGGAACCTTTTCTCGGGAACCTTGCTTGGGAACCCTTGCCTGGTAACCTTGCTTGGGAACCTATTCTTGAAAACCTTGCTTCCAGATCTGTTCTTGGGAACCTTGCTTGGGAACCTTACTTGGGAACCTTGCTTAACCTGTTCTTGGGAACCTTTGTGAATCTTTGGGAAACTGTTCTAAGGAACCTTGCTTGGGAACCTGTTCCGGGCAACCTTGCTTGGGAACCTGTTCTTGGGAACCTTGCTTGGAAACCTTGCTTGGGGACCTGTTTGCTGGGAAACTTGCTTGGGAACCTGCTCTTTAGGAACCTGTTCCTGGTTCTTGAGAACCGTTGGGAACCTGTTGCTGGGAACTTTGCTTGGGAACTTTGCTTGGGGATCCTGTGGGAAACTGTTCCTGGGAACCTTGCTTGGGAACTTTGCTTGGGAACCTGTTTCCGGCAACCTTGTTTTGGACCCGTTCTCGGCAACCTTTAGGAACCTGTTCCTGTAAACCTTGCATGGGAACCTTGCTTGGAAACCTAGCTTGGGAACCTGCTTCCTGGGAACCTTTGGGAACCTTGCTTGGGCACCTTGCTTTGGAATCTTTGGGAACCTGTTGCCGGGAACTTTGCTTGAGAACCTTGGGAACCTTGCTTGAGAACCTTGCAAACCTGTTTCCTGGGAACCTGGCTTGGGAACCTGTTCCTGGGAACCTTGCTTGGAAACCGTGATTGGGAACCTGTTCCTGGGAACCTTGCTTGGGGACCTTGCTTGGGAACCTTACTTGGGAAACTGTTTCCTGGGAACCTTTCTTGACAACCTGTTCTTGGGAACCTTTGGGAATCTTTGGGAACCTGTTCCTGGGAACCTGGAACTTTGTGAATCCGGATTTTGGCTGCTCCGACCTGCTCCGAAACCTTTATTATGGCTGGACCGCAGGCTTACGCTGTTGGGGAAAATACGGAAACAACGAAATTTGCATTTTGCACTTTCTCTCATTTTCAAGAGTTGCGATTTGCCAGGCGCATTGTTTTCACAGTTTTTTAACTTTTTCAAAAGTGCTTGGCCACTCGCTTTTTTGTTTACACTTTTTTCCAGTTTCAAAAATCGTGATTTGCCAGCCGCATGCTTTTACATGTTTTACTTGTTATTTTTTTGTGTTTTTAATTTTGACTTACATGCATGGCTCGGGTTTGCATTTTTTACACATTACGATGTTTGTTAAAAGTTGCGATTTGCCAGTCGCATTTTTTTACATCATTTTTACATTTCAAAAATTGCGATTTGCCAGTCGCTTTTTTGCATTTTAGACATTCGAAAAGCTACATTTGTTTTTCTCCATGCTTTTTCAAAAAGAAAGTCAATTCAAAGAATGCATGTTTCCCGTTTCTTTCCCTTGAAAAATGCAAAATCACAAAGTTACAATATATGGGGAAAGTAATAGATGTTCCAAACCACCAACCAGATTTGATAGTGTATGGGACTGTGGCTATTGGGGCTTCTCAGCGGAACACGTTGTTCTATCCTGATTTATGTTTGGGGAGGGGCATGTTTTCGCGACAACAAAACAAATGTTTTGAGTCACTCCGCCGGTTTCAGCCAGACTAAGTTGGTCTTCCCAACACTATGTCACTATGTTATTTCAATCGTCATCTTGCGCAACATTGCGCAACTCATCCAAAGGAGGACCTGGATGTTTGTATCCCCATCGTTTGTCAGATGTTGTCACCATTGACTTCTGGATGCAAGATGGAAGGCCCTCCGGATTCTTGTTACCGGCCTTGCAGGCAGACGGTTTTAACTTTGAATCTTAAAACTGAGCCTGGATGGTACTGGGAGCATGGTATGTGAAGACTTCCGCTATGGATTTTGGTCGGGCCAAAACATGCTTCTCTATTCTTCTTTTCGCCGGCAAATTCATTTACGACGATCTAGTGCTTCCACTACCGCCTGTGGCAGCTTCCCAACGAGAGATGCTACCTGTTTGGCCGAGTTGGTGAGGTGCTAGGCATTTGCCCACAACTCGTAAATTTTTTGAATGATTTAACTTCCTTTGATAATGCAGCCGTCCGGTGACCCAGTCCTTTTCTAGCCTTCTCTGATTGAGTGCTTGGGTCGAGCTTCGCAAGCTGTCTCGCAGCTTGGCCTTGGCACTTGGCGTACAATTGATTGAATTCTTTGTATGATGCACTACCCGACCCAAAAACTAATGACATGTGTAGACACAGCTGCATCGGGCACAAAAAGGTTCCCAAGAGGGTCGGGAATTTGTTTTGCTTTCTTTTTTCTTGCGCAATTGTTGTTTCTTTTCGATCTGCCATCATTGCGCAAACTTTTGACAGCATTTTGGAGCTGGAACTTGTCAATTTGCGTTGGCGGGCAGCACTTTGGAGATAAAAACGGCGTGTTCGAGCTCGAACCTCTCACTTCGCAAGCTTTTGGCACCATTTTTGGAGCCAGAGCTTCTCAATTTTCAAAAAACATGTAACGGATAAGAAACACAAGGTAGATAAACCAAGACAAGATAAAATCTTCCATGAAAAACTCAGACAAGTGGTCCGGGTGAAGAAACATAAGGCGACAAATAGAGAATGGGATGCATAGATAGGAAACGGAACTGACCAAATAAGATAGAAGAAGATCAGATAGAATAAGGAAAGCTAGGGCAAGGTAAGAAATTGCGAGCAGGGGGATTGGTGGGCAGCGTTGAAGAGGGGCAGTAGCATCCTTCAAGTAAAGGATCAGATAAAGCGTCTTCCCAACCTGCAAGCACTGTTTTCCTCTATCGACCAATGAGCCTGTCAGTGCAGAGCCTAGTCTACAAGCTATACCTCTATATCTCTCTCTTGAGCCTTGGCAGCGTTTAAATTGTGCTCAGTACTCATGCTATGACCAGCCCAAAAGAAACACGCAGGCACAAATTCACAAGCAATGAAAAGAGCACCACGCTTTGTCCAACCCAACCGAGTTCAGAGTTCCTAGCGAGTAAACTAGTTTACACGATGGCTAAACAGCAAAAGAGCGAAGAGTGCGCAGTGGGACCTGTACAAAGATCGGAGTGCGCAGTGAAATCAGTGAATGACAAAATGTCCTGCTCTCGAATGAATTTTCGACAATGGTGCACAACGTTGTTGTTGTTGTTGTTGTTGTCATTGTTGTCATTGTTGTTGTTGTTGTTGTTGTTGTTTTTGTTGTTGAGGAGAAGGAGCTGATGAGATCTGAGGTTGAACATAGTTTGATTTGCCTTTTCCATCTCCTGGCTTTCCTCCTTTGCCTTCATCATCCTTGCCTTTCTTTCCTTTCTTTCCTTTTCCTTTTCGTTTCTTCTGGAAGTATCCACACTCATCCATGTAGTACACATCATCATGTACCCAATAGCCATCATTCCAGTTCTGACTATTGGTCCAATAGCCGTCATTCCATGTCTCATTCCATTCTTCTTCAAATCCTGCTTAACTCACCATGTGAGAGCGGTCTTTCCTTCTTCCTTTTCCTCGGCTTTTTTCCTTTCCTTGATCTGAAGAATCTTCCTTCTCCTCTGCCTTTTCCTTTTCCTTTACCCTGCCTCTACCTTTGCCGCTTCTGGTCTGTCTACCTTGGAACCTTCTCTGATACCATGTGAAGCCAGTGTCATCAAAAACCCAGACAACATCTTCTAAAGCAACCGGGATCAGGAACCCTTCTGCGCCATCTTCATCATCTTCGGCCCAATAGCCGTCGGTTCCATCCATGTTACCTTCATCCAGAACGAAGAAAGATCTTCTGTGTCCAATGCCAGAGGGTTGAACCATGGGATTGTCAACTGCGGTTCGGGTTGAACAAAACATCTCAAGGAATAGGTCTGTGAGTTCTGTCACATTGTATTGATCTAATGTCCTTCCACGATGTGTCATAATACTTGTGAGTGTGTTTCTCTGATCTTGCGTCAAGTCTGCAGACCCTGCTAGACTCGCACGAATCAATGCTAACAGATTGTCACTCACAGGGAACGCCCGTCTCTGTCTCAATCTTCTTCCTGCATGGAGTTGGTTGCAAGTGTTCATTGCCATTTCATCTGTCCATGGTACATTGATGTGTGGATCTGCACCTGGAGTAGCTGCCGCAATGTTCATGAGCCAAATGACGTTGAACACTCGTTGAACAACATGATCAATAGCTTCTTGACTTGTAATATCCAAATCTGGTAAGACACCCATCCAAGACTCAATGAATCTATCTCCGGTGAGTTGAAATCTGGTCATCCGCCTTTGTAAATCCACTGTATCTCTGTTGCGTTTCATGAACTGCATGAATCGATACAAGAACACTGTCTGAACACCTTTGATGAAATGTGGTCGCAAGAATCTTTTGAAATAGTTCGCGCCATCTTCAGGATCCCTCAACATTTCTCTGTTCAGCAATCGTTTGTACATAGGTACTTTATCTTCTATTTGATTTCTCAACCACATTCCCCTCCATCCAAGGCACTACAACTGGACGGATGGATATTCAACCTGGCCTTCACCTGCATGGTGTCGCTCGGAAGTGGGGCAACATCACGAGCCAGTCCTGCTCAGCAGTTCTCGGGAAGACAAGACCACCCTCTGTGCAGACATGAACAATGGCAATGGCAAGACTACCAACGTCCAAGACATGGGACAGTGAGACAGGACTACCATCTCTACCGGCAATCCGTGCAACTTGGAAACTGCCGACAAGCTGCGCATGCGCCATGAGCAGGTCATCAATCGTGGCACCGCGTGTGAAGGAAACAGGAACTGGAGCGTGCATGTCATCCGAAAAGACCAAACACATTTGTCAGCCTGCATTGGTGGCAAAAGCTCAATCGACTTGGTCGGCGTTGGGCAGTCAACCCAAGGGATTTCATCATCAATCGGGGCACTAGGGACTGGAGCTGGATCAGCAACGTGCACATGTCGGATGATACAATCCAGGATGTCACGCCAGCCACCAGTTTCATCCACATAGGCCGAGATTCTGGTCCTTCCACTGTATGACGGGGCAACCTTTGTGGTCATCTGCTGACTCATGTGAATTGCTGGTTGTTGAGATCCTCTTCTCATTGCATAGGATTCATACTGATTCCATATAAGCTACCACCATCGACAATGTCGAAGTCATCTTCATAACCATAGCTTGTCATTGAGTCCTACTCTGTACACCCAGAGCAATGCTCCACTACCACTTGAAGAGGGGCAGCTGCGTCCTTCAAGTAAAAGATCAGATAAAGCGTCTTCCCAGGCTGCAAGCACTGTTTTCCCTCTATCGGCCAATGAGCCAGTCAGTCCAGAGCCTAGTCTACAAGCTATACCTCTCTATATCTCTCTCTTGAGCCTTGACGACGTTTAAGCTGTGCTCAGTACTCATGCTATGACCTGGTAGGGTTCAGCCCAAAACAGAAACAGGCGTCGCCTCCCTATCAAGAGCTCAGACACAAAGGACAAATAAAACAAATTACTTTACTTCGTGTGATCCCCACCATGACATTTATACATGTTCTTACTGGCACATCTTCTGGCATTCTATCTGACATATCTTCTGGCATTCTATCTGGCAAATCTTCTGGCATTCTATCTGGCATATCTTCTGGCATTCTATCTGACATATCTTCTGGCATTCTATCTGGCCTTCTATCTGGACATATATTCTGGCATATCTCTGGCATTCTATCTGACAATCTTCTGACATTCTATTTGGCCTTCTATCTGGCATATGATCTGGCATATCTTCTGGCATATCTTCTGGCATTCTATCTGGCAAATCTTCTGGCATTCTATCTGGCATATCTTCTGGCATATCTTCTGACATTCTATCTGACATTCTATCTGGCAAATCTTCTGGCATTCTATCTGGCAAACATTCTGGCATTTTATCTGGCATATCTTCTGGCATTCTATCTGGCATATCTTCTGGCATTCTATCTGGCATATCTTCTGGCATTCTACCTGGCATATGTTCTGGCATATCTTCTGGCATTCTATCTGGCATATCGTCTGGCATATGTTCTGGCATATTCTTCTGGCATATTATCTGGCAAATCTTCTGGCATTCTATCTGGCAAACATTCTGGCATTTTATCTGGCATACCTTCTGGCATTCTATCTGGCATATCTTCTGGCATATTATCTGGCAAATCTTCTGGACATTCTATCGGGCATTCTCCATCCTGGATATTATCTCGGCATTCTATCTGGCAATATCTATGGCAATCTTCTGAACATTCATTTGCTGAACCATCTTCTCACTTTCTTGCTGCCGGCATTCTGTGTCCCATATCTTGCCTACATGGGAGTACGCGCAGGAGCAGAAAGCTTGGCGTGGAGGGTGGATACTCGCGGGTGAGGTCCGGCAGGGAACACTGGGCGTGGATGGTCGTGGTTGAGGTCCGGCAGGGAACACTGGGCGTGGGTGGTCGTGGTTGAGGTCCGGCAGAGAACATTTGGGAGTGGATGGTCGTGGTTGAGGTCCGGCAGGGACAATGGAGCTGTGAGATGGTCGTGGTTGATGGTCGGCAGAGAACACGGTGGATCGCGGGTCGCAGTTGAGCAAGGACGACGAGGACGACGAGGAGGAGGAGGAGAGGAGGACGAGGCAGGAGGAGGCGGAGGAGGAGGAGAAGGAGGAGGAGGAGAAGGAGGAGGAGGCAACTGACATAAAATCTAACAACCCTCACCTGGCAGGTGGGGAACAAAACCCTTTCTCCACCTTTCTTTGGGTAAAGCTGGTCCCTTTACTTTAGAAAGCCATAGTTGTGTTAAAACTTTAAAATGCAAGGCTTTCCAAATAATTAGATGCCTTATTAAACCCTTATTAAAAAACAGCATGCAGACAATTTTTCAAAGGGGTACCTCATGAGTGGCTCAGTTACTGAATAATATAATTGTTTGGCTGGTACTCTATTGTGAGCACCAACTTTTTGGAGTGAAAAAAAAAACGAAACCCTTTCTCCACCTTTCTTTGGGTAAAGCTGGTCCTTTCACTTTAGAAAGCCATAGTTGTGATAAAACTTTAAAATGCAAGGTTTCCCAAATAATTCGATGCCTTATTAAACCCTTATTAAAAAACAGTACCCAGACAATTTTTCAAAGGGGTACCTCATGAGTGGCTCAGTTACTGAATAATATAATTGTTTGGATGGTACTCTATT